CTTTCGTGAGCAAAAAGAGCGAAGACAAAAAAGGGCCATTTGTTGGTCGCTGCATAGCCAAAAGGTACAGCTATCAATCGAGCATACACTCGCTTGGATCATTCATACTGTCCCGTTTTGGGAGACTGTCCTACCATTGATGTTCTTGTCCGATCTTTGCTGTGCCCGAATCGTAACTTTACGGCAACGTCATTCCCACGGTAAAGCTCGGATAAGAGCGAATATTTTTATACAACAGTTTATGACCAAGAACTACATATTGGTAAACACAATAGGCAATCTAGTCTTGCACAGACTTCACAAATGCGTCCGAGAATACATGGCGTCCGATTATCGGTGGCTTACTCTACTGATGCTGAGTTTGCAGCAAATGGCGTTGTTCAGTGTCGACCATGGAAGAGCTCCATGATCTACCGTAGTGACTTACGGCAAGAAAGAAACGATCGCTTGATGTCCGTGCATACCTCCGGCGAAATTGGAGACGTTCAGTGAAAAAATCAGCGCTTCAACTGGTTCTGGTAAGGAGATAGCGGGATTGAAGAAGAAGAAGAAGAATATGATGATGATGACACGAAAATCGTGAAGTCGCGTATGAGCGAAGTCTCGCGTGGAGAACTGAAGGTGCGTATGAGGTATTTGGGAACATGTATAGGTAGATATGGGCCAGTAGACTATTGCTAGTGTGTTTTGAAGGCCTAGGGAGTCATTCTCAACTAGTTTTTCGGCGTTTTGTACGCGGATCACGTGAGATTTCACTCGTGCCATCCCTATATAGAGCGTCTACCGATGCTCTAATAGGGATACTTCTAAACCACATCCATAACCCACACACAGAGTGATACTCACATGATGACTGGTTGTGGCAATTGGTTCTTCTTTACAATGTTCCCTCAGAAGACTAATCACTCCCTCATAGTTACACTGAGGTCTCTCTTCCCTGTGTTTGTCATAAGGCCTCCCTTCCTCTCCTTCCTCAGCCTTGACCCCAGCAATCTCCATAGCTGTCAGTCCATTCTGTACAGGGAATGGAGAGAGATTAAAGAGTGATGGATGAAGATACTCAGGAGATGAAGGAAAATTCCTGTTGCTAGCCTTACCACAAACCTTGTCTTTGAGATGAAGACTGGCTCCTGCCTCCAGGAGTGCTTGTGTGATATCCCAGTCTCCTCTCTCAGCAGAGAAGTGGAGAGCTGACCACCCTGTGCCCTGTGGAGAGAGAGGGAGAGAAAGAGGAATCAGTTGCCATGGAACTTAAACAAACTGCTGCCTGTGTTCTGGAGTACAAGCCTAGATCTCAGGCCTTCTCCCCCAAACTTTATATGCCATTAAACCATGCGCTAAGTTAAAGAGGGAGAATGCTTAAAAGTTTTTCATGATGCGATGCATGGCACGAAAGACGTCACACTCATAAGCTATACACATAATTTTTTATATGTATGAGTGACATAGTGTGACGTTTGTGCCACGTATCACGCGATGAAAATCTTCTAGGCCTTCTCCCTCCCGTTCTGAGCATAGTTCAAAAGTCACCCAATTATATAATTATGTGGGGAGGAGGGAGAAGGCCTGGGATCGATGCTACTGGAGTACTCCATTAGCTCATGCATGCATGAGTGGGGGTTAGAGTACTGCACTCTTCCAACACCCCTCATTCATGTTGAACTACAATCCCCACATTTCTTGAGAACAAGAAAGCACTCAGCCAGCCTATAAGTAACATATTTGTAGAGTGATGTTCAACTTTGTAAGCACTAAGCTGACACCCCTTATTCCTGTAAATGGCGTACTGAATGTGAATAGGGAAGGCAAGGCTAGTAGCCTAGGTTTACTCACATTCTCCTGAATATCCAGGTTGATGTGTTCTCCCTCCAGTAGAATGTTAGTAATGTCAGTTCTCCCACTCCTGACAGCTATCATTAGGGCAGTGAGTCCCTCCTAATATGGAGGACTGGGGATGATATGTGGTGCAGTGTCCACAGTAACTGTGTATCTCACCTGGTTCTGGAGGTTGAGGTCACTCCCTGCCCTCACTAGCTCCCTCAGAGTGGCTGGTTTGTATTCCACTATAGCACTGATGACTGCAGAGTCTCCATTCTGGTGGAGAGAGTGGGAACTGAGACAGTGGGAAAGCCATGTACAGAGCTACACTACATGTCTGGAGGCCATCATGGAGAGAGTCTGAGTTACAGCACTTGCAAAACAGACAACAAACACCCTGTTTGTGCAAGGTGCTAGTGGAATACTCTCTGTCTCTCACGCATGACACACACCAAACATGAGAGTGTTAGAGATATGAACACATGTAGATTCCTTAGCTAACACAAGAGATTCTCCATCTCTCTCTCACTCTCTGTCATGACATGAGAGTGTTAGAGATGTGTACATGGAGATTCCTTGGCTAAAACAAGAGGTTCTCTCTTTATCGTCTTCACTAGAGGAGGCGAACAAGTTATATAGTGTAGTTATAACTGACGGGCAGAGTTAAACACTCTAGTTAACCCTCGGCGTGCATGCGTAGCGAGGGTTACGGTTAAAAGTTTGTGTGTCTGTCCGTCCATCTGTCTGTCTGTCTGTCTCTCTGTCCATATGTCTCTCTGTCCATCTGTCCGTTACCACATTTACTGCCACAATGACCAACGGCACAATATAATAGTGATACCAAAAATTCAGTGCTACACTAGCTTGATTGTATATTCAGCGAATTTCGTAAACGTACCGCGTTCCAGAGTTATGGCGTGAAATCCTAGTGATAATACCTTGACCAGATCTGCTTGCTCTGTGTACCTTACAGGCACCAAAAGTTGCAACACAGGGCGAGTATCGACTCTCGCAAGCTATCCAGTATATAGCCCGTGACAGACTCCCAGTGGGCTGGCATGAGACCGCGAGTATGCCTAGCCCATCAATTAGCGGTAGCTACTTACCATACATCCATATGCGTGTGTGTATATATATATAGTGTGCAGAGGGTTTTCACTATAGTGCTATTATTTAGCTATGGAATGCAATAAGTGACAAAATTTACCATGATTATAGTATTAATTAAAATAGTAGAATATTATTTTTGGCATTAGAAAATCACTGATTATGATAATCATTTTTTTGGCAAACAGCACTCCATACTTGTTAAAGACAGACAATGGCAATGGCTGAACATCTTGGGTATATACCCTGTATTCATCACTATACATACCTTATTCTGTAGGTCTAAATTGGTTCCTCCCTTCACCAACTCCACCACAACATCAGTGCAACCATAGTAGGATGCTCTAATCGTTGCTGAGTCCCCATCCTGTGTGATGAGAGTTAACCAAAGAACTTTCATCTAGAAAACTTGGCAAAAGTTAAATTGCTGAGCTACTGTACTCCACGCAACATTCAGAGAGTCACGTAACTGCCGAAAAACTCAAAATGGTCTGCGTACATGTAGCTAGAGTGGTCACCATGTAAATGAAAAGCATTGAAGTGCAAACCCTCTGTGAACTGCGTACGCGCGGTACCACTAATTGATGGGCTGGGCTTTTAGTATGCGTTTACTCGTGGTATCCACGTCAGTAGCTCGCGGAGAGTCTGACACGGACTAGCTACAGTAGTAGATAGCATGCGGGAGTCGACACACGCCCTTCGTTGTGACTTCTTATGCCTTCAAGATACACAGACCAAGCGGCCTGGTCGCCTGTAAGCGCATGCGCATTTTCCGCAGCGATAAAAATGGCCGACTACGCATTAGCCGTACAATGGTGGAAGCGCTCTAGCTTTGCAACGGAGCGTTGGGTAGATTGTATCGTTTCTGGGACGAACAGACATTCGAGGAGTGAGATATAGAGTAACAGACAAACAGACAGACATACCCAACTACTGTACCCTCGCTGCGCATGCGCGCCGAGGGTAATCAGGAAGACTTACTTCGTATTATATAAGCTGTTAACACAAGCTCATCAGAGTACATCAGCTATGCTATTCCTAATGTGCACTGCCAGTCATAATCACGAAATTCAGAAAATATCGTTTTTGCCTGCCAATAAGTTTGATTATACTGATAGCCATCAGTGATGTGTCAATGCCCAAACTGATTTTCATCAGATGTCATTGAAGAATGGTAACCAGGAAAGGGCATACATATTGTTCTTCAAGATAGAGTGGTATATGTGAGCGCATCAAGTAAAAAAAATAGGGGTTATGACACACAGGGACAAGTTTGAGTTTGTGAATGAATTACGTAGTACAATGAATAGAAAATTTGCATGCACGATATGGCGACGATTAGCCACACCAGAACCGCACGAGAGCATTAAGGGATTTCCCCTCCTCCCGTGTATGGGTCGTGCGTACACAGGGAAACATTATAATGTGGCAAACACCCTATTTTTACTCGATGCGTTCACATATATATCAGTAATCTTAGACATCACGAACAGTTCTAGATCTGACCATAGCTGACCAATCCATATCAGGTTAGTTGTGCCATAAATGAGAAACAGGTGTGACTTAGACTCCGGAATATATGCACAAGTGCAGTACATTCTGAATCAAGCGACTCTGATCTTCCTACCAGCAAGATTAAAGATTTTTGGAGCCATATTCATCACAGAAAGTGGCCTTTAGACAACTGCTGATGTATAAATTGCTGCATTGTGGGTAGCTACTCCTTGAACACTCAAAGGCTAAGTAAAACATGACCCAGTAGCAATACAGCAACGAAACATGCTTGATAAACTTGTTAATTTTGAGAGCGAGCACAGTAAGAAATTGAAACAGGTGTGACTTAGACTCAGGAGAATATGGTACCCTGTATTCATCACTATAGATACCTTATTCTGTAGGTCCAAATCGGCTCCTCCCTTCACCAACTCCACCACAACATCAGTCTTATCCCGCAAGGCTGCTATTATCAGTGCTGAGTATCCCTCCTGTGTGATGAGAGATCCCCATTATAGAATGCACATGTGCAGTACATTCAAGATGAAGTGGCTCTGATCTTCCATCCAGTAAGGTTGACAGGTTCATTTTGAACCAAACTTTTTTTTCTGAAGTGTTAGTCGCAGTAGTGGAACAAATTTCTCGTGATGCCAGAATAATATTTTGCATGCAAAAGCAGCTGTGTGCACACAAGCCATCAATGGGCATTAGGCCTCTGATTAAAATGTTGGTGCTGTGCATAAAACAATATCAAAGGGTGACAAGAGGGGCATACAGGAGTATAATGTTCTCTTGCCACTAGCTAAATGTTCTCTTGCCACTAGCTAAATGTGTATCCACACACACAAGAATACGTACTATCAGCTACATAGAGGTTACCAGTTCCTGACAGAGGGAGATGGGTGTCTTGCATTTAAAAGTGCATACAAAGGACAGATTCCATCTGCTGTTAAGGCTAATGTGGAGATGGAAAGATTTTGTGCAATCCTCCAATCCAAAGACTATATAGAGTCTATGCATTCTCTGTAGCAATTGACTTGATATCTTGAACAGCAACAGTCAACAAAGCAAACTGAGGCACATTTGGTTAGAGTGAGAGGTAAGCAGTAGTTTAGTTCACAGGTGAGGTTTTTTTATACAACAGGTTGAAGGCATAATGTAACCTATTTGCCATATATAGTATTAGTCTCAAATGTGGAACAATATTCGTGTGATTATACAGCATGAATGATTATACAGCATGAATGCATAGTGCACATCATCACGTAACACAATTTGGGAGGTCCACAAATAGCAATGGTAAGCATGTGGCAGTTACTACAGAAGCAGTATTAGAGGCTGCACAGTACCACAATGTAAAAATCCCAAAGTCAAGAGGAATCTGAATATTACCCAGTAGGAGGCACGCACAGTACATTAAGATTCTGGAACCGAGAAGGCCGGGGAAGCTGGTGAAATGGACGGCTGCTGAAGTGACTGTGCGTCAAATAGAAATCTCAGACGATCGCCGTATGTACTGAGACGTCCTGTGCGTATGTGGAGAAGGTGGGAGGCTAGTAGTAAGGCCAGGGAGTAAATTCGATATCACTAAGCTTGCTGGTCTGCCCATATTGATGGTACAGTTCAGTGGGAGCAAGATTGCTGGAGAAGTGAGAGATTTTTAGTGAAGGAATCACAGAGGAAAGGACAAACAGTGCAGCTAGTAGCCATTGACTGCTGAATGTAGCTGCTAATAAAGAACATGAAAAGCACTGAAGTGCAAACCCTCGGCGAACTGCGCATGCGCTAGTACAGCTCGCGGAGAGTCTGACACGGGCTAGCTACGGTAGTAGATAGCATGCGGGAGTCGATACACGCCCTTCGCTGTGGTTTCTTGTGCCTCCAAGGTACACAGAGCAAGCGGATCAGGTCGGGGTGAGCCAGCACACCGCGTCTAATATACGCATGCGCACCGCTTATTGATGGGTTGGGCCACGGAACACGACGGTGCCAGTTTGTCGCTCTCGAACGCAGTCGTTTCAGGAAAATCGCCCTTTTACTTTTCAGGCTCGTGTAATTCTGAAGCTGCTTGTATCGCTAATGGGCCGCTTCGTAGCCTGTAGTGCCAGAATAAGCGTCGACACACACACACACAGACAGAACGACTACAGTAACCCTAGCTGCGCATGCGCGCCGAGGGTTAATAAAGTTAGAGGGTTATGTACTGTCAAGTCCTTTGATGTGCATTAAAAAAGGAGATAAAGATGTTGATACACTAAGTATACACTAAAAATAATTGCTATAAAGGGAGAGCAGTCTCTGATCTTCTCTTCCCTTGAGACAACTGACTGTTCAAACTCCATCATAAACAGTGGCGAGGGTTAGCTATGCACTTCCAAGTGCTTTTCATTCAAGGAAGCGACTTCGAGGGCAGTTACGGTGCATTCTTTGCCCTGTACCGTACAAGCATGCAGGGCATCCCTTAGGCAGTCTTACAAGGCACCCATTAACCAAATGCACCATTGCCGACATTGCAAAATCCTTCTTCCCTCACGAATTAGCCTTTGTTTTTCCAGAAGATGACAGAGTAGCTATAATTATATGGAAACGGTCTAGAATATACAGCAACCATGACCTTGACACACCTGACCATGTGTATTGTTTGGTTACAGAATATTTAGAGTCCGAGCCCTGCTGATTTATCAATACCCTCGACTGATAATCATTACGCATTTCCGATGGTACTCTAAATATGTATTCCCCAGGCTCAAACGTGGTGCAAGAAGTTTTGACCTTTGAACACATGGTAATGCAAGCAGTGGAAAAATCTGATTTGTTTTTTCTTGTACAGAAGGAGGACCTGGGGACAAGGCTAGCTACATTGAAATTTCTACTGCCATGCCTTCAACTTCGATTAGTTACTCATTTCATCCCGAGAACCAGAAACATAATCTATTTCAGCATGTGCATTACCCACGAAATTGGCCACATTTAACCAGTTCTGTGGTAACATCTAGACCCTCCCACTCCTCCATACCAGTGTCCACTCAAAAGGTAGCTATGCAGAATAACAGGTGTTCTCTAGCTCTGTAGACCAACTCATCACTATGAGTTTAGAAATGAAATGATGACTTACATTATTCTGAGCATTGATATCAGCACCAAGTGACAGTAGGTCAATGACTACATCACAATGACCATTAAATACAGCAGATAATAGAGGTGTCCATCCACCCTGCATGATTTGAAAAAACTCAGTATTATCATGGTATATAACACTTTTAAGACAAGCTCATTTAGAGGATACATCATCACCCTGCCCCAGGGGTAAACACGCCAACAAAGGTAAGATGTACCTGTACATAATAATCAAAAAGCAGCTGTGTGCACACTAGCAATTAGTGACCATTAGGCCTCTGATTAAAATGTTGGTGCTGTGCACACAACAATATCAAAGAGTGACAAGAAGGACATACAAGACCATAATAATGTCCTCTTTCCACTAGCTAAATCCTCCTTTGCCACTAGTAGCAAGACCAGGAGTAAATTCGATATCACTAAGCTTGCTGGTCTGCCTGTATTGAAGGTCAGTTCAGTTGGAGCGAGATTGCTGGAGAAGTGAGAGATTTTCAGTGAAGGAACCGCTGAGGAAAGGACAGACAGTGTAGCTAGTAGCCATTGGCTGCTGAATGTAGCTGCTAATAAAGAATAAAGTGGGAGGGTTATGTACTGTCAAGTCCTTTGATGTGCATGAAAAAGGAGAAAACTATGTTGATAAAAAATACACTGAACATTGCTGTAAAGGGAGAGCAGTCTCTGATCTTCTCTTCCCTTGAGACAACTGACTCTTCAAACTCCATCATTAACAGTGGCGAGGGTTATGCACTTCCAAGTGCTTTTCATTCATGCAAGCAACTTAGAGGGTATATATATACATATATATAATCTATATAGTTACGGTGCATTCTTTGCCCTGTACCGAACAAGCATGCAGGGCATCTCTTAGGCAGTGTTACAAGGAGCACCCATTAACCAAATGCACCATTGCCGACATTGCAAAATCCTTCTTCCCTCACGAATTAGCCTGTGTAGTGCAGTGGAACAGTCAGATTTGTTTTTTCTTGTACAGAAGGAGGACCTGGGGACAATGCGAACTACGTCGAAATTTCTACTGCCAAGCCTTCAACTTGGATTAGTTACTCTTTTCATCCCGAGAGCTAGAAATATTATATATTTCAGCATGTTGTGTGTATTACCCACGAAATTGGCCACATTTAACCTGTTCTGTGGTAACATTTAGACCCTCTCTCTACTCCATACCAGTGACCATTGAAAAGGTATGTGGAAAAACAGGTGTGCTCTGTTGGTCAACTTATCACTATGAGTTTAGAAATGAAATGATGACTTACATTACTCTGAGCATTAATATCAGCACCAAGTGATAGTAGGTCAATGACTACATCACAATGACCTTCACCCGCAGCAGATATTAGAGGTGTCCATCCATCCTGTGGGATTGACAAACTCATTATTACCATGGTAACATACGTAGTTTTAAGACAAACTCATTTAGAGGATACATCATCACCCTGTCCCAGGGGTGAACAGGCTAACAAAGGTTAAAATGTACCTGTACTAGCTGGCAAGTGAAGCGAGCTTACTGTTTGATTGCGTGATTTCTCTATATCATGTCATGTAACCAGTGACGACGGCACTTTCATTAGTACTGTGTTTGCACAATTGTAAATAGGGGGATTTAGCACTGCATGCGTGTGACTCTCCGGTTTACTTGCCACAAATGTGTTGCATCATTCTAGTGGTGAGTGTTAGTATGGAGGCCTACAGCTGGAATGGCAGACCAACTAGTCATTGGGAAGTGGACAAGGGTCCCATTTAGTTTTCATTCTTAGTATATAACAGTTTCTAAACATTCAGCTCTTAAATACTCGCACATTCACTCTCCTTGCAGCTGGAGTTTCTGAACAGTATGGTGTCATTAGATGAGAATGACCTAATCAGAGGTTTCCTCTGTCCATGATATGACCACACAATCTAGCATCATTTCATGACATAAGCTCTTGCCACTGTCTCACCTCGTCCCTACACTCCACCTCTGACCCTCTGCCAGTCAGCAGACGAACTACCTGGAGGTGACCATAGCAGCTGGCCTTATCCAGAGGAGTCTCTAATTCCTGATGAGAACAGAGAAATTTTGTGATGCTGACTGGGGGTACGAGTAATTACGAAATCCTTAAACTCAGGCTAGGATGATGAGGAATAACTAACGGAAGTAGTATACCTGAAATGTGGCTTTGTGGGAGTACAACAGACATCACAATAACAGTAATAACGGTACAGAGAGGAAACAAAAATGGAACAAAGAAATCTTAATGTAATTTTAAACAACGCAAGAGCAACGGAATAATAAAAATGTTCCCAATAATAATGTCCACCATACCAGCACCGAATCATTGATACTGTGCATCATCAAAGTGCACGTGTATGAATTACACTGCTTTGAATAGGGACTCAAACCAGTCTATCAAGCTAGACACTCTCTCTGTGGGTGGATTTCTGAACTCGTTAATTTCACGATTACTTTCAGCTAAACCTGGAGTTCAATGAGTCTTCCCACCCAATCTCAAAGTGTCAATCTCATGGCAGACCAAGTTAAACATGCAGCTGTGGCTCCTCATGTCAAAACCTGCCACGTGCTACAGTATTTTACGCTACACACCTACACACACAAAATGTAAATTCTGCCCATTTAATGCCACCTGCTAGACCCTCTTTCTCCTCTGTGTCACATGGTCATAAAATTAAAATGCACGGAAAAGCATGAGTGAGGAAAAAGGGTCTAGCTTGATAGTCAAACCCGCAACACTACTCTACCACTAGGCAGGAAGGGCTCAGAAAGACAAACCTCAACATCTCTGCTACGGAAGAGAAACCAGTTATTATAATTATGACGTACAACTTCCAGATACATGAAGCAGTGGGTGTAAAATACAGTAAATAATCATTAAACGTACAGATATTAGTTATATGTGTAGGTGGTAGATACATCACCAACCATTCTCTAACTACTTTAACATACTTTGCAGCCATTGCGTTAAACCAGCTATGAAATTCCTACTTGTATGTCTGTGTGAAATCACCAAGGGAATGCTGATACAGCAGCATTCATTGCTGCACTCGCCTCAGAAGAACTTCAACTACTTACACATACCCCATGTACACAGGTCGGCATGATCTGTTGGTATGCATGAGGCAGGTGATTTTACTGCTACAAGAGGCTAGGAACTATACCATGGACTCACACTGATAACTAACCTCATCGACAGACTGGATATCAGCTCCACTGTTGAGTAGAGATGCAACCATCATCAGATCTCCTTTTCTACTGGCACTGATCAGCTCATCATTCTGTACAGAATGAAAAACATTCTGTCACCCACAAACAAAACCAACTCTCAATCAATGTCCAACGTATTGTTTATATAGTACTTTATCACAAATCTCCTTCTAACGTAAATACACGTCTACATACCAGGTCACAGCTCTGGTCATGTAGGAGGGAGAGTTGGCTGCCATCCACAGTCACCTCTGATAGATGGTGGGTGGTCATGAAGTGGGGGGTCAGAGCTGCTAGTACCCAGCCCACCACACTGGGAGTAAACCTCACCACCACCTCCACACACTTGTTGGCCACTCCACTGATGTAAACACTGTGAGAGCTGAGACCTGAATTGGTGATGATTGATTCGTTTAGCTTTCGAAGGTCATAGAGTGTACATTCAGACGCAGGCTTTTCGATCCTCAAGACCATTTGCGCGAATGCTTGTTGTAACTCATTGTCCGTTTCCTCTGGTACAGCAGTAACATACACGTCTACAGTTGTGGACACTTCAAACTTCATTAGCATTTGTGAGTATTCCTGCATGCTTTGTTGCAGTGGAGGAACATTGAACCAGGTGATGATCTCTTGCAGTATCTCGTAGTTTCGGAAACTCAAGTAGCGACTCAGGATGGCAAACAGTTTTCGAATGTTCCTTGCCTCGAGAATGTCGTCTTCATTTTCACGGAAAAACTTGACATGAGCAGCTTTCTTGGAGACAGGGAGGACAAGAAGATGATCACGGAACTCATCCATAAACTCCTGTTCCTGGCTCTCCCTGGCACACATCTCTGATCTGGTATGAGATATCAGCTTGGAAAAGGTCTTCTTGTGGTGAAGAATGGCAGACTTTACACCAGCCACACTCCTGAGAGCCACAGGCTGGCAGCGATCACTAGGAGGTGGGGAGGTGGGCTGGTTGGGATCAGTTGAAAGTGGAGGAGGAGAGGGGTCAGCAGGAGTCAGTGGAGCTGATGTGGCCACAGACCGGACTGTGGCAGGCTGGTGACCATCAGTGGAAGGACTGGCAGCTCCAGGTGACTGGAGACAATGCTGGGAGGCCACTTGCTCTGCAAGACTGTTCATCTTGATGACTCGGAGGCCAGAGGCTAACTTTCCCCAGCTGGCCTGGGTGTCTTGGTCCAGCCAGGCCTGGATGGTGGCGATCTTACGACTGCTGCCTTTGTACTCATTCTCAATGTCCTGAACAGTTTTGAGTTCCATAAGGTAGCTACAATAAAAGAGCTCGCATATACACCGCGTAATTTCATTTAGAAGCATCGGGTAGCTAATCCACGGCGATCGGAACCCTCTCTAATCTAGTTCAGAGGTTGAAACCAGTGCGACTCCAGTAGTGCTATTTGACTCGGAGACCTGGTACCCCTCACATGCTGCCCTGGATGAACCATAACAATTCATTGGATGCAGTTGTATATGTACGTAACTACTAGGTTAGTTGGTTGCATGCTCAGGCGTTGACGAAAACTGCAGAGCAGACTGTGTGTTGGCCAGCAGGGTGTATCAGGCAATACTCAGTATGGGCATAGAGTAAGCTCATGCAATCCACAGTTAACAGGCCTCGGGTGGTTCAAAAGTGATCGGCACACAGTACTTCTGGACTGGAGCTAGGCAACTAGCGTTTCACCCTTCCTTTCCCTTCTGGTAGAATTAATCACTGTCTTGTTTTATTTTCCTCCCCATCATGGGATGTGGCCTTCGTTTCAGGGGTGTGTTATGTAGTCCCCAAGCCAATCAATGTCAATCAGTTGCATTGTAGGGGATAAAAATCCCCTTGTTGCTTCACTAAACTCGGTGCGCATGCGCAGCGATGGTTACAGTAGCTGGGCTGTCTGTTTGTCGACCCTAGACTACAAGACGACCCAGACGAGATATCAACGGCTTCAGAACTAAGCGAGCCTAAAAATATATTTTCCTCAAATGACTGCATTTGAGAGAGAAGCCGTGAAAGCAAGTGAAAAAGCCTAATATGCACAATCACACTCGACCTGATCCACTCGCTCTGTGTGCAAAGGAAGACACAACGAAGGGTGTATATATTGACTCTCGCATGCTATCTACCAGTGTAGCTAGCTTGTGTCAGACTCACCATTAGGTATAAACTAGCATGGAGACAACGAGTACTCATAGCCCAGCCCATCAATTAGCAGTACCGCACATCCTCAGTGCATCGAGGGTCTACACTTTAGTGCTTAATAAATAGGCGTGCATAAAGCATGCACTGGCTAATTTCGTTTAGGCCTAAAATATAAGTGAACTCCCTACATTAAACTAATCGGCCCAATCATCAGATTAGGGTTGATGATGACAGAAAAAGAACTGGTCAAGGACATAATCATGGCTATTACCTCATAAGACATCCTAACTACTTTTCACAGACTTATGTCATCAATGCCTCACACTTAGAAATTCAGAGACTAGGTAGACTTAGCTTTGCTCACCATTTTCACGCAGTTATGATGAACAAAGGAATTAGCAAGAATACACTTCCCAAATGCCCCCGACTATCCAAAATGCTTGTGGGCATAGGTACAGATGTAGCAGCAAACAGAGAAGGGTTTGATGTTTTGCGCACAGGCCGACCTCTGCAATATAGCTAACACCCAATGTCAGTCACACTCCTTCCAAGCTCATCCCGATGCTCCATTACGTGAAGGAAGGAGCAGTCTTGCGGTAGTACAAGTCAGCGCCGCCTAGTGAGAGTAGTTTGGACCCGAGGTATGATATGAATTAAAATCATAATTATTTCTTAGACTGCAACGACATAATAACTGCAAGAGAATAAGGTGGCCTTAAGTTTCATACTTTTAGCAAGCAAGTGGAGATACTCTTTCTCAGCAAGCAAGTGGGGTGATAGAGTCTAGCCAGCAGACATTTTTCTCTGGCCCATGCACGCATGGGGAGGTTGCGTGCAGATATAAAGGGTCTAGCCAAACCTGCATTTTGCTGGAATGTTGGAACTAGATTAGCGTGTGGGTAAACTGGGCGAACCTTGTACAATGCGGCAGTATTATACTGTGAACTATGAATAACATTGGATCCAAAAACAATTAAAGTGCAAACCGTCGGTGAACTGCGCATGCGCGGTACAGCTAATTGATGGGCTGGGACTATTTGTAGTATGCGTTTACTCATGGTCTCCCGCTAGAGTAGCTCGCGGAGAGTCTGACACGGGCTAGCTACAGTAGTATAGATAGCATGCGGGAGTCGATACGCGCCCTTCGTTGTGACTTCTTGTGCCTCCAACGGTCAAGGTAAGCCTGTGCTAATTTGCATATTGGCTTGTTCACTTGGTTATCATGCCATAACTTCTGAACGCGGCACTTTAATTTAAAAATTTTAAAAATGAAGCCAGTGTAGCGCTGAACCGGTTGGTGTCGCTATTTTTACCTGTTTGTCGCGCGTGGTGGCACAAAACCTGGTAGCAGACGGACAGACAGACGGACGGACAGACCAAATACTGTAACCCTCGCTGCGCATGCGCGCCGAGGGTTAATGAAGTGCAGGTTTAGCTAGACTCTCTTTCTACGCATGCATGGACTGGAGGATAGACTAGTGGGGTGAAGGACAGGCAAACTTACAACATAGAAAACTTTGAAAAAAGCTGAAGAGTGCAGTGCAATAATAATCCTGGGGAGTAACTGTGAAATAGGCTCGCCTAGTAGCAAGAAAGTAGGGGTAAAGAGAGGCAACCGGACATCTCTCAATACATTAACAATAGTTGGAGAGAGCAGTTAGGCAAGTAGCTCACGGAGAGTCTTACACAGGCTAGCTACACTGTAAGATAGCATGCGGGAGTTGATTAAACGCCCTTTGTTGGGACCACCAAGGTACACAGAGCAAGCGTATCAGGTCGCCGTAAGCCAAGTTCGATTATGCATACTGGCTTTTTCGCTTGTTTTCACAGCATATCTCTCGAACGCAGTCTTTTCAGGGAAATCGCCCTTTTATTTTTCAGGCTCGTGTAACTAAGTCACTCTCATATTAGCGAAAGGCAAAAGCTCTCCGTGGTTCACTGGCTGGCTTATACATGCAAACATAAGAACGTGGTGGCAGCATTTCTGACAGGGCCACGATGCAGCGAAGCTTTTCTCTTGTTTGTTTCTTCGATCTATTCCTAAGGTCTGTCTTACCAGTGTGATAGTGCTATTTAGATTTTGATTAACTGTGAAATGTCAAAACTGATAAGCACCCGGGCTTTCACAAATGCCCCAAATGCCCTTGCAGGTAAAGCTTTTAACTCTCACGGCGTTCACTATAAAAATACTCTCAAAAGTATGACTTCATCTCCGCCAAACAAAGTGTCTCTTTTGCTGTGGATACATGGCAGAAACACAGATTTTTTGCCTCATGCATAATTTATGACACAAGTTCACTTAAAATTTCTTCAGTTGCTAGTAATTATACACAAAAGCCAACAATTCTTGCGAAAGCAACCAAACCCTTTCTCCCTTGTGGGTGGGGTCTGGACAAGAGACTAGTGGGGTGAGTGACAGGCCAATCTACCAAACTGAAGAGTGCAGTGCAAAATCATCAATTGCAGACAATAAGTTGGCCTTAGATTATATAATTTAAGAAAGCAAATGGTGGGAAAGACAATCTATCACTCTTAATACATTGACAATAGCTGAAGAATACAGTGCTAGAGAGTGGGGAAAATAGGGAGGGCTAAAATTAATGTTTCGCACAAGTAGGGGGAAAAAAGGACAAATAATTTTCCTTCATACATTGACTATCGCTGGAAAGTGCAGTTCTTGGGAGCAATATGATGAATTTTTGTACTTTTACCATCTGTAGTTGCAATGGTGCATTGGGCTACCTGGAATCTTTTGCGAGCTCTTTGTGAAAAATTGCCCCGGGAAACATGTAAGCTGACTGTTTGAAGAGTTTGGAGAGGCAAAGGTTGTTGGTGGGCTAGAAGAACAGGTTGTTACATTTGGGTGTCATTGATGTTGAATCCCGGGCTGTTTCTGTAAAAGGTGCCAGGGGCGTTGGAAGGTTCAGGCAAGTGGTACGGCTTCCTGTGAACTAGTCTCTTCGCGACGGCATTGCACGCAGCCGACGGGGAAGGCGAGGGCCAGTGTGCGCATACGCACGCCGAAAACAAAATCCAACTGCAAAAAGAACCGAAAATGTTCCTTCTGTGCTCTCAATGGAAACAGAAGTCATTGGCACATTGTTGAAGGCAAAGGTTATACCGCTAGGTCCATCCGGGCAACTATGGCTACAATGCAGGTGTGCGTTCAAAGGGGCGGGGTTAAAGTTGTGCGACGCGACCGCACCGTGCGCGCCGCCTTTACGCGGCCCTAGCTCCGTAAAGACCTAGCTGGGTTCCTACACTAGGCCAAGAAGTTGGTGGCAAGTCCAGGCAAAAGTGGTAGCTACGCCTGTTCCCGTACTGGCCATAGCAGCTCCGACGCCCCTGGGTGCATGTGGAAAATGGACTAATCTTGGTCTGAGATACCTCCAAATAAATCTAATCACAGAACGGCCAATCAATGTCACGTGCATCTGTAGTCCGAAGAATTTACGTTGCCGAGGCCTCGTATGCAACATACAAGTAGAAACAGAATACTACGTGCGTGATAAGGGTCGTTTTCTCAGAGCCTATATATCACAGATTTAGAACCAAGTTCTAATGAAAAGCACTACAGTGCAAACCCTAAGCGAACTGCACATGAGCGGTACCGCTAATTGATGGGCTGGGCTATTAGAATACATCTACTTCTGGTCTCCCGCTAGTAGCTCGGGGAGAGTCTGACACGGGCTAGCTACAGCAGTAGATAACATGCGGAAGTGGATACACGCCCTACATTGAGACTTCTTGTGCCTTCAAGAGATACACAGAACGAGTGGACCCGGTCGAGGTAGGCCTGTGGTAATTAGCATATTGGCTTCTTGACTTGGTTTTCACGCCATAACTATTGAACGCAGCACTTTAACGAAAAAACAAAGCTAGTGAGCGCTGAACCGGTTGGTGTAAGTTGCTTTTTGCCCGGTTTGTTGTCCGCGGTGGCAGAAAGCGTGGTAACAAACGGACACACGGACCAAGGATATACTGTAACCCTTGCGTGCCGAGGGTCAATAAGTTGCACGCTTCTGTCAAGTTTAGTATCCTAACTGGAAATGGCATAAATTTTCGTGCCCATGAGACCCAAAAAATCACATCAAGTGGAAAAGGGACTCTTCGGCTCCTAGATCTCAAAATCAAGATCTCCAATCAGGTCGAAGTCACTGCAGTCTGCGGACTTTTGGTAGGTGGGGCCTCGTATGCCAGAAGAGAGGTTCGGATACTACAGCTTAATCAGATGTTCCCCTCCCATTGTGGGCGGAGCGGCTTGGTAGAGACTTTAGACTGTTACACCGGTAATTGGTCCCCCCTGCAACACACGGTCCCCCACCAGAAATATGCACACGTATCAAGTGAACCCGTATCTCTGTTATATCTTAGCATCTTTGAGTGTCACTGAGCCGTGTCACAATGTGTTTTTCGACAGTAACTGCTACACAGCTACGTGTTCTCCTCGTTTCACTTCGTTGCAGGCGCATTCACCTCGTCGCCCGTGTGTGTGTTACTCTACTGATACAGTGCAATATGAACCCGATTATGCATCCGGCAGGAATTCTGATGAACGCTGGCCGGATCGAATACTCGAAAGGCGATTTCTACTTCTACAAAGAGGGCGTCACCGGTATCGACCCGGACAATACGCGCAAGGGCATAAGTCGCCTGAAGACGGTGCTACGCGAGATCGCCTCTGACATCGAGGCCGCGAATTGGACTAGCAGCCTGCAGTGAATGGTTTCATTGCCCTCGGCGTGCATGCACAGTAGTTGGGTCTGTCTGTTAGTCTGTTTGTTTGTTGCTCTATGACTCACTCCTCGAACGTCCAGAAACGATACCCAACGGGCGACGAAGGTCAGAAAATAAAGGCGGTTTTCTCTGAAAATGCTCCGTTGCAAAGCTAGAGCGCTTCCACCATTGTGCGTAGTCGGCCATTTTTATCGCTGCGGAAAATGCGCGTGCGCTTATAGTTTGAACAGACCGGGCCGCTTGGTCTGTGTATCTTGAAGGCATAAGAAGTCACAACGAAGGGCGTGTGTCGACTCCCGCATGCTATCTACTACTGTAGCTAGTCCGTGTCAGACTCTCCGCGAGCTACTGACGTGGATACCACGAGTAAACGCATACTAAAAGCCCAGCCCATCAATTAGTGGTACCGCGCGTGCGCAGTTTGCCGAGGGTACTTCAGTGCTTTGTGTATTACAACAAATTGCCTTTGTTGAAAATTTTTGATTCCGTATGGTTTTGCAATAAACTAATGTTCACAAAAACTTTTCATCTGTCCTAAGCACACGGAGCTGCATGGCGCAGAAAGAAGGGGGCGGGGCAGATCGACGACCATTTGCTAGTTGATAGCAGCTAGCCATATTTATTGGCGAGCGGGAGAGCTAGTCGTTCGTTCGAGCGGACAACTTGGAAATAAGCTAGGATTGCTCGTGCAGATCTTGCTGCACGCTAGCTGCCTAGTGGACCACGGCGTAAGGTAAGTACCTGCTCACCTGCTCACCGTTCTGCCAATGTACAATACGCATGTAACGGCGACAGGTAGATCTGTCTTGCTTCACGCGATAGGAAAGCTGTGTGCTGACGTCACGTTATGCAGCCCGAACAACGCGAAGTTGGGTTGCTCCCGCTCGCCAACAATGTTCAACATTCTTCTAGTAACATGTGAAACAAACTAAGAAAGTAGACTAGGTGGACCTTCGGCGGCAGGGAGGGACCATCAGCGGTGCCGAATACGGTCCTAGCTGCAGTGGACGGTGCAGGGGACCAATTCTTTCTGCCGGGGAAGTTCCGGGGGGACCAATTTTCGCGTGACAAGACCCTCTTTCCTTGGAAGAGGGTTGGGGTGTGGACGCTAGACTAGGCGATCAGTAACCGGCCACACTTCTACACCACAGAGAGGACGTGCCGTTGCTCATAATACACGAGGCTAGACTGCTAGAATGCTATGGGATATTTTTCGCCCATTATAAACCATTTCACGTTGTGTGAAGGGCGAGGGAACCGCCATTTCAGACATAAGCACAAACACAGAACAAGGTAGACTTACAGTGACCTACACTTACCTCTAATTTGCAAACGCAGATGATCGGTAACGGACTGGCGGTGGCCTCACAAGGGAGGGAACAATCAACACAATACTGGCAACGCCCTCTGTTTTTTCTCCGCTTCCATCATCGCATAAAAATACAGGTTTGCGCATGCGCATAAGTCAGTTGGGTGAAATTCATGTTATTATTTTCGTCGAGGCCATCCGCAACAAGTGGTTTAGGTCTGACCCGTCATAATCACTACCACTGCTCCAACTGCAGTGAATTATTGAACCATGTGTCCACCTGACTGCAGACTGCATAGCACTGCCAGAGAACCCCAACATCACCTGTTATTGCAAAAAATAATATTGCACATAGACAGATGATTATTACTATGGCCAAACAAACCTGGTTCTCTGGCTACTAGGAGGATCAGATGACACATAGAGACAGAGCCCAGTCTTGTGGCTTACTATAGTATCGACAGTCCTCTGACCCCACTGCCACACCCCCCACAGCTCCCGCCTCCTCCCCTCCCTCTCTTCTTCCTCCCCTATCATGGGAAGCCACAGTCCCTCCATCCTCCTGGCCTCAACCACTGGTCCAGGAGACCCCATTCCTCCCACATGCTGGTAGGGTGTCTGCAGCATCAGGTACAGATGACGGACCTGGAGAACAACACTCTTTCAATGTGAACACCTTGATGGACATAAGAGCTATTCCGTGATACTTGACTGTAATCTAACCTCAGAGAAATCTCCTTTCTCTGCATGTTCTATGGCAGTCTGTAGAATGTGGTTGCGGAGTATACACCTGTCAGTGAGGCAATTACATAAACTTATGTAACCTAACCAATTTTGTTTGTTAGCTACCTTGGATTATTCTGTTTCATGATGGACAGACGAGCCTCATTAACCTGGACGAAGGAAAGTGTGGCTATTAAAACAGATGATAATCATCTTTCTTCAAGATTTTGTGCATACATTGCAATACTTAAAATGAGCATGTTGAAGATTATATAGCCCAATTAACTCTGCAAACTCATGTACATTGACACAGTGGTGCAGTTTCTTGTGTTGGCCACACATGACTATATGTATTATACTTTGGAGACATCAGTCCCAGAGTCCAGGTCTCGGTGGAGTCGATGAGAGTACCTCGACAGCCACTCCAGCCATACAGCTCTGTCTCCACTCCTCTTCTCCTCCACACTCATCTCCTGTACACACCCACAACAATGTGGAGCTCTCACTTTATAGCAACACACACAGACAGCTGTAACTGTGCTCGAATAGTAGCTATTTTGAATATACTGTGCAACCTCCCGAAGTTGATAGGTTGGAACCAGACATTTGTCATTCTTATGGGAGATGTTGTTCTCTCTTGGAATGGTTTAAAAAGTGAATGTTTGGGACATTAAAGTTTGTTCTTCATTGAGAGGTTTATTATATTGTGTATTATTTATTGGAGGTTCTATATACTGTATCTGTTTCTCAGTATTAACAAGAGTTGGACCTTCAGTTTGTCAATGCTCTGCACGGGAGTGAAGGAGGGGATTAATACCCAGGGACTAATACTTCACTGAAGTGCAAACCCTCGGCGAACTGCGCATAGGCGGTACTGCTAATGGACGGACCCGCAGTCTCCCGCTACGGCTAGTAGCTCACGGAGAGTCTGTCACGGGCTAGCTACGGTAGTAGATAGCATGCGGGAGTCGATACACGCCCTTCGCTGTGGTTTCTTGTGCCTCCAAGGCACACAGAGCAAGCGGATCAGGTCGGGGTGAGCTAGCACACCGCGTTGGTCGCGTCTAATATACGCATGCGCACCGCTTATTGATGGGTTGGGCCACGGAACACGGTCCGCGACGGTGCCAGTTTGTCGCTCTCGAACGCAGTCGTTTCAGGAAAAACCGTTCGATTAAACTGATTCTTATTACCCGTTTATTACGTCGTATCGTTTGTGGGACGAATAAACCATCGAGAAGTGAGTTGGAGCATGGACAGACAAACAAACAGACAAACTCAACTACCGTAACCCTCGCTGCGCATGCGCGCCGAGGGTTAATGAGTACATCAACAAGAAAGAACCAACACAGTGACTCAGCACCCCGCCACACAAAGACAACCTACGGCAGAGCCTACCGAGGCAGTTAGATGGCCAGGCTCCAACTTAAAACATATAATATACAACAAAGGAGAAAAAGATGTCAGAGTGTCTGTGACTGACTGATTGAGGAGGCATCTTTGGTCTGTAGGACTGGACCAGTTGTTGAGGAGAGGCACATTCTTCCAGGAGATACTCCACCACCTCCTCAATCTCTCTATATATACAGTTTATCAGTTATGCTAGCAGTAAGGAGGGCAATGAATATACACATTCACTAGCGATCCCCAAGCTGAGTGAGGCTAATCACAGGGAGAAGAACTGACGAAGGATGAGACGAATCACCTATATAATTATATATATATACCTCTCTATTGTGGAGTCTTGACTCTCAGGAATTGTCACTCGACTGAGACATTGGAATCCATTGGTAAAGTCACATCCTACAGAAGAGGATGTCTTTCACGACACCAACACATCGACAGTACACTGCTACTGACCAGTGGTATGCATTGTGTCCAGTAGAGACTCTATCAGATGACTGTCATCCTCCTCCTCCTTACACAGTCCTAGCTGTTCACCACACACACACACACACACACACACCACACACACACCACACACTCTCTCTCTAATTAACAGCATGGGAAGTTTTGACTTTAGTAGACATAACATCCACAACAAGGTATAAAACAGCCAAGCTTGCCTGTAGTAGCTCAGTTAGGAGCAAGAGTGAAGAAAGAAAGAAGTGAAGAATAGAGAAGACCAAAGAAAGTTATGATACGTAGCTGCTATACTAAAATTGCCGTTATGTAATGTAGGTTAGTTTGTAAGTACAATAATTGTAGCCATGTAGTAGGCAAGTCTGGACTCCAACCAGGTGGAGTCCAGACTTGCCTACTACATGGCTGGAACTCTATTATTATCTACTCTATGGTGAGGGCTCGATCCAAACTGCTCCGTGCCCCAACACACGTCGTGTTATTTTCTCTTCCGTTGTGTGCAGGCAGTTAGGATTGGGCAACGATTCTGCGAGTGAGTTTATAGACAATTTCTCGTTCATTTTAAGGATACATTCACACAGTACCTATTGGAGTTACGACAGATACAATGTTTGGTGCTGGGCCATCAACACAACCTATTCTCATCACGAATGTGGTGTGCTCTGGCAATGAGAGTAATATAGCCGAGTGCTCTCATTCTGACATGAATAGTGTGGGGCATTGTTTACACGTCGATGATGTTGGTGTAATATGTGAAGGTAAGTTTTATTCATACAGAGAAGATCTACTGGCAGGCTGCTCTGTCAACCTGACTGTTGCAAACTCTGCTTGCGACATCAGAGTGCACACGATAATCAATTTTGTGACAGCATTATTCTACAGTGGTGTGAAGTTTGCTGGGATAGTGGGACTTATGTTGAGAAAGAGTGGGAGTCTGTGGCAGTATTGTATGACCAACAAACAATTGTTTTTCTCAATGGTTATGATTTGTTGGTAAAATAACTCCCATAAGTTTATCCACAGGGTAAAATATCCTTATCCTTTTCAGTTCCCCTTTCAGCAATTGGACATCAGCACCTAACTGTAGTAATTAACCCTCGGCGAGCATGCGCAGCGAGGGTTACTGCGGTCTGCCTGTCTGTCTGTCAGCGCGAGTTCTTGCACTACAGGCTACGAGGCGGCCAACGAGTGGCACCAACGGGTTGTGAATAACGAGAAGATGGATATATACCTGGCGATTTTCCTGAAACGACTGCGTTCCAGAGATATGGCGTTAAAACAAGCGAAAAAGCCAACATGCGGTCGATCGCGCACCCTCTCCGGCAGGCTACATAGCGCGCACGCGTCATGTCAATTTTCCCTGGAGTATGCGCTACGCCACGTTGGTTGTATATACGATCTACGGGCTTCCGTCAGTTTTGATCTCTGTTCTCAATTTATAAACATGCTGAGCCATGACGGATTTCCTTGCAGCGCTCGCATGCAAACCCACAAGTACGACAAAAGCCAACTGCCTCACGTTTTATGCACTTGTTGCACATTGTTTGCTCACTGGAGTTCACTTTTTTGACGGCATCTTGGATGTCGAAGAGGTAGTGGATGTAGAAGACTCCTTGGAGTGCTGGGACTCCGCCCACTGGTAGTGGAGTGTCCTGGTGACATTGTGGACATGGGAGACCAGGGACGTAGCCAGGACTCAAGGTGTGGGATTTCCCGCCAGCATTGCGCATGCGCGTGACTACGCGCGGTTGCGTGTACGTACGTGCGTTTGCGCACAGGTGTGTCAACAACGCGGGTGGAAGACGAATATTTTCATGTAATAAAAGTCACTGAATGTCAGTTATATAGGCATTGCTCCCGGGCCGTCTGAGGTTGAAAGCCGAAAGAGGACAGGCGCTTCATCTCTCCCCTCGCAACGCGCGTAACAAGTGCGCACGCGAACGTAACAATTAAGACCACGCCCACTTTTCGCAGATCAAAGGGGGTTTCCGGGCAACGTAGGAAACCACATAGCTATATATACGCCCTTGAACTTGGAGACTCTGTCCCTCTCGTCCCACATGTACCATACGTTGCAGGCACTGCTCGCAATACTCCTGAAAACAGCAGCCTTGGCTTTTTGTAGGGCTCCAGACATAGCTACGGCACAGATTACCTGGTCCTGGATCTTTTGGAGAGCTTTCTCGGCAACAGTGGCCAGTTTGGCAGCCATGGCTCTGTCAGTTGTGCAGCACACAAGCTAGAGGGAGGATCTGGTAAAGTATGAAGCAAGCAAGGGCGGTGTGCGAACTCCAAGAAATGGCAAAACAGGAAATAGCCCTGGACTTTTGTGTCACTCAACTTATATTCACAGTCTGAGATCTGCACACTTGCATGCCTGACCATATTTGGATGTTCTGGTGAGGTGCTAGAGCGGGGGCATGTTGTTTATGCAATCTTCCAGGCTCTCCCTGTACGCCTTTAGAGGGATACTTGGGAGAAAGGCTCTTGAATACTGAAAAAGGTGGTCTGATCGTTAGATATTTACAGTGCAGTTGGCTATTGACATTACTGGACAATACTCACCTGGACTACCTATTAGTGTTTTTACTCGAACTTTTCACATTCCCCTATGTCGCTCCCACCTTTCACCTTTCCCAGTATATCGTACCTAGTCCTGGCATACAGGGTGAAAGTAGCTTCTTCAAACTTCAGTTGTAGAGACTTCCATTCTAGCAACTTCTGTTCTACTAAAAAGCTAGCTTAAAGTTCTAGCTGGCGGGATAGCGTTGCCGCGTCATGAATGCTCTTATTACTATATTTGCCTCGGCATGATTCATGGGTTAAAAGTTATACATGGTTCGCAGAGAGTGGAGAGATAGCCTGGGAACAAGGCTAGTACTGTAAAGATGCACTGCAGAATATCTCTAGTGTTGATAAAACCAACAGTACAGATCACTGACTTCATGTTCATTGATGTTTCAGGAAAAACTCCACCGGATTATCTTTTGGTGGCATATGGCTAACAATATTATAATGTGACTTCAGACAAAGGTATGGGGGTCCTTGTTTGTGTGGCTACCACAAACAGCATTAGCATGGAATAAAACAAAGCAGTTTTCCCTCTAAGTTCTCTGGAGCAAACAAATTGTTTGAGCTTAGCTTACAATTGAACAGAATTGAACTTGGAAGTTGGTTCAGAAGGGAAGTGAGCTCACTCGAGGAATGACGCATGTGGGTTGGGTTATGTGTCACGTGCGTGGTTCGAGGGTTTTGCACTTTAGTGCTTTTCATTTCAGAGGCACTTGTGGTTTATTTATGCTGTCTGTCACGTTCATGCCTGTGCAAAGTCTGCACAATTGTTAATGCTGTCTGTCACGTTCATGCCTGTGCAACCTCGGCTCAATTGTTTCAGAGGCTCTTGTTGTTTCTTTACGCAGTCTATCACTTCTTCGCCGAGCTGAAATTTGGTCGTATGTTTCAGCTGCCCTTGTACTCTGATTACGTAGCCTGTCTTGCTCTGTTCTCGCAAATTTCTCTTGTTCAGTCTCTGAAGTTCTTCGACGTTTCATCGCTTCCTTTTTGGCAATACACTGCGCTTTCCTTTTTACGGAAAGGTAGCTATGCCCACATACGCAAACCGCCCGTCTAGCATGTACTGTTGTATCACACTGCGGACATACCTTCTTCAGGTGTCTATCGCTCTCCGTCAGTCAGCCCCTCTGCATACAACGCGCGGAATGTAGATACGAGTGCTGATTGCCAAGTATTTGCGACCAGAAGTTTGCTCGAGCGCTGCCCTCACAAAAATGAAACCCTGGCTGCTCAACGGTGCTATTTACGGCGAAAAACACGTGATCATTGTGCGCAACCCGCCAGTGTAACAGACGCATGCGTTTATATCTCGCTTCCTAGAGGTAAGCGAATACTAATTAGCATATCGGCTTGTTAACTTGGTTTTCACGCCATAACTGTCGAACGCATTGCTTTTACAATCAAGCCGGTATAGCGCTGAACCTTTTGGTATCGCTCTTTCGTTGTCTCGTTGCGCGTGGTTGCAGAAAACGTGGTAACAGACAGACAGACAGACAGACAGAAAACCGGGTGCCTCTACGTGTAACTATCCTTCACACTACATCATAATGACATCATCACTAGAGCAACAGATTGTACTGTGTTATTGAAGTAACTTGTGTGGCAGAAAAGGCTGGTATTGCTGGTATCCAAGGTACCTGGTGTATTAAAGGTAACTGGGTAATGCTGGTGTAACAGGTAGGGCTGGTAGTGCTGGGATCCAAGGTACCTGGGGTATTACAGGTAACTGGGTATTACTGGTGTAACAGGTAGGGCTGGTATTGCTGGTATCCAAGGTACCTGGGGTATTAAAGGTAACTGGGTAATACTGGTGTAACAGGTAGGGCTGGTATCCAAGGTACCTGGGGTATTAAAGGTAACTGGGTATTACTGGTGTAACAGGTAGGGCTGGTAGTGCTGGTATCCAAAGTATCTGGGGTATTACAGGTAACTGGGTATTAGTATAGGTAATAGTGCAGTTTGGTGTGGTATTAGGGATTAATAGGGATGGAATTTTTTTAAATAGTATGAGGCGAAGCCGAATACTATTTTTTTAAATTCCATCACTATTAATCCCCTAATACCACACCAAACTGCACTATCACATGTTAATAGTATAGTGCTGTGTATAGTGATCAGTGTGTTATATAGATTAGCTATAGTCATGCTCACAAGATCTTTCGCGACACTTGTTTCTGGAGCTGTAACTTGTATGAAGTATTTCACATTGATTTCCTAGTCACTTGATTTGATTGGTCGATTTTCTGGGGAATTTCAATTTTCCGGGGTATTTAAATTTTCCAAGGGTATTACGGTGAAATAGTTAAATTCTCTATGGATCAAATGTATTGGCTGTTACATAGTATACTATTACTGGTGTAACAGGTAGGGCTGGTATCCAAGGTATCTGGTGTATTACAGGTAACTGGGTAATACTGGTGTAACAGGTAGGGCTGGTATTGCTGGTATCCAAGGTATCTGGGGTATTAAAGGTAACTGTGTATTACTGGTGTAACAGGTAGGGCTGGTATTGCTGGTATCCATCTGGGGTATTACAGCCCTACCTGTTACACCAGCATTACCCAGTTACCTTTAACACTGATGGTACCACTAAATGCCAAAAGAAAATTGAAGGAGCTGCTGTGAATGGAATGGTGTTGTCAGTAAATGAAGTACCAGATGGTAGTGCTGGTAGCATGATTGATGATATTTCACGAGAATTGCAAAAGCTTAGAGACACTGCGCTTGCTTTGGGGTTACAAAATGCCGACAATATTAACTGGACATTGATTGCGTCCTCCTCCTCAGACTCAGCCTCTACCCAAAAGCGTTTCAACAAATTGTTGGAGGAAGAGAGGGCTAAAGATGGCCAGCGATTTGGCGAAGTTTGCCCTGAAGTCTTAGAGTTGGTAGAAAATGTTTGCTCCATGCACTTAGGGGTAAATCTTAGGAAAGCTTTCCTTGATGGGATCAGGTGTTTAACCCATACAGCTACAGAATCGTGTAGGGAACGTTATGCAGTTGATACAGTCATTCATGAATTTTGCAAGCTTCTTGGTAAGCATGGGGTGCCTGAATACGGTCTTGGGGTACTGGCTTTTCCTGACTTTTGTGCAACAGTCCACTGACCCTGATAAAGTGGGCCATTACCAGATTTGTGCAAAAATTAGGCTGGATCGACAAGTTGGAAGTCGCTATTTTGTTTCAGCATGTAACGCTGGAAAAATTTTATTCCTTCGCAAAGCAGCTTTGGATTTTTTGTTGTACACTGGTAAAAGTGACGGCAACAAACTGGAACAAGATGTTTACCAAAAATTACTGGACCCTGACATGCTATCACAGCTGAAAGCTGATGCATTGATGTTCCATCATGTATACTCCAACCTTGTCATGCTGGCAAAATCTAATGATTTGGTGGAATCTGCTTTTGATATGAGGTGTCACTATCTGGAGCTTAAAATGTTTCTGGAGGAAATTTAACTTAGCCCACAGACAGCAATGGACAGAGACTTCAGAGTATTTGTTTCCGAAGAGCGACTGTATGGTCTAGACAAGAAATGCAATCATCGTCTACACAACCAATATGAGCCTATAGAACAACAATTATTTACAGAAGAAGAATCGGATTCTAGCCTTGTGTATCCCCTGCTTGCTACTGGAGCAACAGCTATGAAGGAGAAGCTTTGCAAGTATGCACATTCAATGCTGCCAGGAGGAAAGTACTGGGAACCGGACCCAGGTACTAAAGCTGTCTTACAGCAGTTGAAGCCCAGCAATGACCTCTGTGAAAGCATCCTTGGGCTGAATGACTACCTAACAACAGCCATACCAAACTTGCATCAACTTTCACGCTCAAATTTAATCCAGGTTAAAAAGAACAAGACAATTGAGTAGTTCAAGCAACTTTCAAAAGAACGGCAGCATTCTATTGTCGAGCTGGCAGTACGCAGAAGGGCTGAAGTCGCAAAAAGATACAAGGAAGAGGAAGCAATTCGAAGTCTACAAAGGCGAGAGAAAATGTTACGTGATAAGCGTCGACGTGATGCTTTTGAGAGGAGAGCTAAGATGGAAAAAATGAGGCTGTCCAACCTGCATTTGATAACAACTACTGATGAGCTGAAACGTGCCCTTTGTGAAATTGATAGTCAATCACTTAGCTCAAAGAAGAAATGTGAAAAGAAACGTGCCATTATAAGGGAGCAATTAAATATTAGGAAAAAAGTATTGAATCAAGCAATCAAACTCCCCTTTACTCACAATGGAAGGCAGCGGCCAATCAGTCATCTCGTTCAGGAACTTTCACATGTGATCGAAGCCAACTCAGACGAAGCGGCCTCAAGTGAATCTAGCTCTGAGTATAGTGCGGAATCGCTAGTTGGAAGAGAAATTCTTCACAGATTTAATGTTGAGGGGGAAGAAAGTGGTATGCGGGACATGTTGTTAGCTACAATGCTGTGACACACCTACATGAGGTAGCATATGAAGGAGAAGAAGAAAATTGTTTTTTTAACTTGTTAGAAGACGTTAATAGTGGTGACATTATTCTAAACACTTGAATCATGATCAAATTTTTTCCACTCTGTAAGCTCTTTACTGATTCCATTCAGAATATGTTTTGTTTGACCAAGTTCAGAGAGAAGTAGCGCCACATCTTTTCTGACTGTGCTTAACTCCTGGTCTTGCGCTGTCACTTTAACAGGCAGTTCTTGCAGGAGATGAGCACAGGCACACCCACTGACTCCATCTGTGTATATTATATAAACAATAAAAAAAACAGAAGTTCAGAGTCTGGCTCACCATCATCATCACCATAGTCTCTTGATGGCAATTTTGAGCAGGCCTCAGGATGTGGGTCCATGACTATAAAGATAAGAAGAGGGGCATTCATAGTAGCCACGCAGGCTGGCATTTCACAAGCCACACCCCAACAGTAGAGTAAGCCACCGATAATCGGACGCCATGTATTCTCGGACGCATTTGTGAAGTCTGTTCAGGACTAGATTGGCTACTGTGTATACCAAAGTGTAGTTCTTGGTCATAAACTGTTGTATAAAAATATTCGCTCTTATCCGAGCTTAACCGTGGGAATGACGTTGCCGTAAAGTTACGATTCGGGCACAGCAAAGTTCGGACAAGGCCATCGAAGGTAGGACAGTCTCCCAAAACGGGAACAGTATGAATGATCCAAGCGAGTGTATGCTCGATTGATAGCTGTACATTTTGGCTATGCAGCGACCCACAAATGGCCCTTTTTTGTCTTCGCTATTTTTGCTCACGAAAGCGCAAATAGGCGGGGTCGCGTAAGCCGCGTTTTACGCGAAAAGCCGTTTTCGGCTTGTTTCTTCTAACACACGCGCCGGATGAAGCTATAAAATTTTCTCCTCGTTCTTCTTGCCTTATATTAGATGCCTGCACCACGATTTCCGTTGTTGTAAGATTATAGATATTTTGTAATTATCAATATTATTTTTGTAATGATCCAATAAAAGTTAGATCTCACACAAAACGGAATCGTGCTGCAGGCATCTAATATAGGTGAGTCAGATTGAGCACACTGGCTCTAACGTTTGTATGAAATGTCTGGCAAGGACGTGGGCGGGTGAAACCTGATACACATTTGCACACGCCTTACTGGCAGGCAAAAGCGCGGACCGGGACCCTAAGAGCAATTTTTGTGGTATACTGTGAGTGTAACGTTATGGCACAGAATGTGAACCCAGTTGTTGTAAGATTATAATATTTTGTAATTATCAATAATTATTTTTTGTAATGACCAATAAAAAGTTAGATCTCACAAAAACGGAAATCGTGCTGCAGGCATCTAATATAAGGCAAGAAGAACGAGGAGAAAATTTTATAGCTTGTAATTATCAATATGATTTTTTGTACTGACCAATCAAAAGTTTAGATCTCACAAAAACGGAATCGTGCTGCAGGCATCTAATATAAGGCAAGAAGAACGAGGAGGAGAAAATTTATAGCTTCCTCCTGCGCCGTGTGTGTTAGAAGAGAACACGCCGAAACTGCTTTTGTTTTTTCGCGTCAAAACGCGGCTACGCGACACCGCCTCAGTTTTTGTTTTTAAAATCCTTTTTTGTTATTTTTTTAATATTATATCAGTATGATGGTGCAGTATAATAAGAAGATAGAGAGCAATTTAGCAGTGACTACAAGGTGTGTTTCGAGAGGATCAAATCGACCGCCATGGGCATCTGAGGCATGTCCGCATGCATGATGAGTCTTGCCCCCTGATGGCCTGGATGGAGGAGCAGTAAAAGAGAAGGCTAGACGACAACGTAGCAAAAATAGCGTAGACAAAAAGGGGCCATTTGTGGGTCGCTGCATAGCCAAAAGGTACAGCTATCATCGAGCATACACTCGCTGGATCATTCATACTGTTCCCGTTTTGGGAGACTGTCCTACCTTCGATGGCCCTTGTCCGAACTTGCTGGGCCCGAATAGTAACTTTACGGCAACGTCATTCCCACGGTAAAAGCTCGATAAGAGCGAATATTTTTTATACAACAGTTCATGACCAAGAACTAACTTTGGTATACACAGTAGCCAATGTAGTCCTGCACAGACTCACAATGCGTCCGAGAATACATGGCGTCCGATTATCGGTGGCTTACTCTAACCCTCCACACTAATTTTACCCACTGTTCAGTGAAGTTTTCATGCAGATGGCAAGCAACAACATGCTGGGTTCACATTCTGTGCCATACGTTACACTCACAGTATACCACAAAATTGCCTTAGGGTCCCGGTCCGCGTTTGCCTGCCAGTAGGCGCGTGCAATGTGTATCAGGTTTCACCCGCCCACGTCCTTGCCAGACATTTCATACAAACGTTAGAGCCAGTGTGCTCAATCTGACTCACCTTATTGCTAGGGAAAGGGCAACACGACACCTTCAGAAAAGCGCCCGGAGACTTTCGCGCGCCTCAGCATTGACCTTTGACCCGCCCGTTGGTGTTACGCATTGCACTGGCCAAGAAGGCAGTAGCACAAGTTTTGATCGTGCGCTTGTGATTCTAGGTTAGAGTCTATTGTAATACGCTAGTGGGAGACTTGGATCCTGAAGATCGATTTTTCAGGTTGAGGACCCTAGCACAGGTCATGAGAGGTGGACTTGAAAGGCGTTTTAGACGTACGTATGTGTCTCCAACGTACGTTTACGTGTCTTGAACGTGCCATTTAGTTTTGTTACACTTCGCTTGCCATATGGCCGACCTTTGATCGCTCGCTCTATAGAGTACTTCATCAATCACCGGACACCACTCTTTATCGGACACCTTCGAATTATCGGACCGCAATGTCTTGTCTACCTACAACTCACTGCAAGGGCAAGGCGAGTTATATGCCGTAAGTTCGTCCCTTCGGGAACGTAGTATCCGCGTTATTTTACCTAAAATGCGCATGCGCAATCGGTTGGAACAGACAAGCGCATGCGCACAATTAAGTGGGCGGATGCTTTGTGCAAAATTCCGGCTGTTAGTGCACAGCTGTACGACGCCGTACTGCGTGTTCTGCTGTAGTATTATAGTGTTGAGGTTTTCTGAGTACATAGCGCTGTCTCTTTAGCTTTAAAATGCACTGTCCGAACATAGGGGCCATGTTCCGACTGACGGTGGTTCGGACAGTGAGCGATCTTTGTGCCGCCGTAGCGTTACTGTCCCTCTGCCGAAGCTGGTACCGTGCATGCCTTTTGAGTGACACCCTCTGAGGTACTGAACGTAGCGAGGATAGCTAACTCTGTCTGGTCCGAGAGAAATGGCTATGTCCGGGTGATGGTATCCGATAATTGATGAGCTACTCTAATAGGTCGAGGTGTGGTTTCGCCGAAGTAACTTTCACGCGGTGTGTGGACCTTCACCATACAGCAAGCTATGGACGAGAAAGAATTCCTCCAACGTCAAATAACGAATACCAAGACACAGTTTGACTACCAGCCACCTGGTGTTGATATTAATCTCATAATGGGAGTTCCTGCAGAACAGCTTCTAAAAAAGGCTGCTGACCATTTCACAACAAGCTTCAACCATAAAATGGTGATCTTTGCTGATTACCCTCCATCTCAGGTTGTTCAAATTTGTGGGTATGTACACGTCAATAGAAGGATCCAGAGGCACGTAAAATGTTCCAGTATGGCCCAGAAGCTGGTGATGTAAGTTTTCGAACAGAGTTATCCAAGTTCCTGTCGCAGGAGTACTTGGATTCAGTGGAAACGTAAGGAATTGATCAACTGATTATCTCCTGCTGACCTGTATAATGATTATACTGTGCATACCGAAGAGGTAATGAATTCTAGTCACATAATGCAGCTACAGCATGTAGCTGAAATGGCCGAAACGCCACACTTTACATGCGCTGCAACTTCCCAAACCATCCGGGCCTCTAAACTGAACCCATTAAACCACACCCCCATTGTAATCGGTTACGTCCCTTATAATGTTGTTCCTTACTCCAAATAGCCATCACTGAAGAGTAGTGTAACCAAGTTTAGACACTTAGCTGCCCAGTTTTGACACACTACTTCCAATAGATTCCTTGCCCTGTGCCACTACTTCCGTGAATCGCAGTAATGCCTTACGGGACCAGGGACAAAATCTGGGACTGGCCTGGACATGGTGTAGCCAATGACTTTAAAAGCGTCTTAGTAAGCCCTCAAAAGATACTTACAATGGCTGATGGCTACTTACTTTGAACTGACATCGCTTGCTTGTGTAAAATTTCCTCCACACAAGACCTATATTGTCGCAAAGTACGAGTGTGCTCCCTTGTATGATGCACAGCTATGATTTATTTCATACGCCCATTAGACAGGTACCGTCTACTCGGTTTTCAGTTGTGACTGCATTGTGTGAAGTCTAAGACTTCCACATTTGCTCAACTAACCAGTTTTACAATGCTGCGTTCTTGGCCATCTACATACAGAATCCTCTCACCATTGTTCTTGCACTTCACTAAACAAACAGTAAAGGTGGCGACAATATAGGGCTTGTGTGGAGGAAATTTTACACAAGCAAGCGATATCACTTCAAAGTATGTAGCCATCATCCATAGTACTACTGCATCATGTTCACTAGGTCATCCCTGCCTTGTCCCCTTACTTTTTATGCCATCCCTATATTCCACACTTTTTTAATTGGAAGATTTTTTTTTACTTGTCTCCTTTCCTTTTTTACCGCATTCACATGCATGGTGTGCAATATGTATTTGGGCATAAGCCCATAAACAAAGCAACATTAGTGACCTTAAGCTATCGCCTCAGACATTTTGTCGTCATTCACATCAGTGCACCGAGTTTCATTGTGAGAGGACCCATCATAAGCAAGTTATAGGCACTGACACCATTTAAAAGTCTTTTTTTGCCTGAGGCTGTTTACAACCTTGTAATTTCTGTTTCGATCAAATCTTTATCGTGGTGAATCGGTGTACCAAATTTCATTGTTAGAGGACTAACCACAAGGAATTTATAGCCATTTACAAGTTTTTACTGTTTGTTGTTGTTTACAAGCTTGTAATTTCTGTTTCGATGAAGTTTCATCATGGTACATCAGTGTACCAAGTTTCATTGTTAGTGGACCAACCATTAGCAAGTTTGAGGCACAAACACCATTTACAAGTATTTATTGCCTGAGGCTGTATGTTGTCGTTTGCAAACTTGTAATTTCTGTTTCAATCAGCTCTCATCATGGTACATCAGTGTACTAAATTTCATTGTTAGATGACCCACCATAAGCAAGTTGTAGGCACAAACACAGTTTACAAGTTTTTATGGCCTGAGGCTGTTTGTTGTTGTTTACAAACTTGTAATGTTTACATTTTGATACTAATGATGGGTTGCACATGTGTGCAAAGTTGTATTTGCTTTACCTAGTTAGCACACTTTATTTGTCTCTATCATAATGTATGGCCTGGGGCTATTTTTTGCTGTTTACATGTAAACAACATTGTTTACAAACAAATTAAAATGCTGTTGCCCGACCTGTCATGGATTCCAATCCCTGTGCAAAGTTTCATTTCAGTATCTTACCTTGTTTTTGAGATACACTTATTGTAACTGAACGACAACAACAACAACGAGAAGAAGAATTTTTAGAACTAACTTTCTTGAATACCTCGATTACCGATTATGCGATTTATGCAATTTCTTGGGTACATGCTCTTTGTGACGATACAGATCAGTCTGACGTGTCAAAAGTTGCAAACTGAAAGTGAAACATGAAAATCTGAAATGTATGGGCATAATGCAGGAGAACCTGTGTCATCCCTATAATTAGCTATACCGTACATAGTGATTATAGCTACCAAGGTTATGTGAAAGTGTGGGAAATTGTACCATGTGTGTGTTTACATAATCATATTATGCATGACTAAACTTGTGCTCACTGATCATGTTAGTACTGCTCAATCTATTTTCTTCATTTCTTAGGGATGACTTAATCGTGACTAATGGGGCAACTCAAGGCCTGTATATGCTCGCGTCCCTGCTGTTTTCTGCTGGTGACCTTGTTTTTGTTGAAGATCCCACATACTTTGTAGCATTAAAGTTACTACAAAAAGATGTTGGACTCCAGTGTGTTCCAGGTATACATGCTACATTACCCCAGCGTAATAATGACGCATGAGTGGATCATAAAGGGCCCCCGAGATAAAATTAATTATGCCATTTCCTCACTTTATAGACTTTCCCACTAGTATTTTTTACAAGGTGCAAAAGTGACATTACCTATCAAAACAGTGCAGATGGGTAGGGCTTCGCAAACCACGCACGCATGATTTGCCCATGTATCATAGGTCTATGAGCCATGGTTTTTTTTACCAATCATACGACACTCTCAGAGGTTGGTTTGGGCTGTATAACTGCTACTTTTGTTGACCTACTTAGCTTCGTGGCAGTCTGATACCATTCACCACGCAATACATTTCTTACATGATTTTTACTCTTTTGCCCCACATATCCATAATGGGGTTAGTAAATGATTTTCTTTCAATCACTTCCCTTTCTCTTGTTATAGTAATATGATAGGTGACTCCATTATTACTAGTTCCGATTGATGGTGAAGGAATTATCCCTGATATCTTGGAAGAGAATCTTAAAATACATGCTTCGAAAGATGTTAACAGAAGAAAACCATTTTTGTCAATGCTGTACCTGATATCCACTTTTCACAATCCCACCGGAGTGTGTCTCTCACCTGGTAATATTATCATACTAACCACATCATGCTTGTGAATAATAATGGCTGCATATGTGCAGCTATAGCTACCTCTTTGCTTTTAGAAATGAAAAGCACTGAAGTGCAAACCCTCAGCGCATTACGCATGCGCAGTACCGCTGGTTGATGGGCTGGGCTATGAGTATGCATTTACTCGTGGTCTCCACGCTAGTTGGTCGCCGACACGGGCTAGCTGCACTATAAGATAGCATGCCGATGGGGGAGGGCTTCGTGGTGACTTCTTGTGCCTCTGCAAGGTACAAAGAGCAAGCTGATCGGTCGTGGTAAGCTGGTGCAATTATCATATTGGGTTTTTCACTTGTTTTCACGGCATATCTCTCGAACGCAGTCGTTTCAGAAAAATCGCCGTTTTGTTTTTCAGGTTCGTGTAGTTCTGAAGGCGTTAGTATCGCTCATGGGTCGCCTCAAACCCTGTAGTGCGATAATAGCTGCTGACAGACAGACACAGACCAAGTACTGTAACCCTCGCTGTGCATGCGCGCCGAGTGGTTAAAAGGACCTGCTGAGTAGTATGAAGTGTTCTCACAACTGAAGCAATGCAAATCAAACTGGTATTCTACAGATCGATGCAGAAAGATAGTCCAGATTTCAAGAAAGTACAATCTACTTGTTGTGTGTGATGATGTCTATAACCTCCTGGCCTTCTCCCAAGATAAAGAAAGTGCTCTGCGAAGA